CAAGATGAAGAGCACCCGATTGATACTTTTAATCGTAGGCGTATGCGCGGGCATGTGGTGCACGCATTGTGGCGTGCGTAGCCCAACTGGTGGCATATAAGCCATTAACAAGGCGAGGGTAAGCGGGGTCTCGGTAGTGTAAGGGATAAGAGCACGGTCCCCGGAAAGGACAAGTACGGGTTCGAGTCCCGTCCGAGACTGGGGTTTTGCCCACAAATCGCCAACCTTGTAAATCCAAAACCTTTGTTATTTACAAGATAGCGTTGACTATTTAATATGTTCCATCAGACGGGTATGGTAAGTGCAGTGATAGGAGCCGACTAAGAGTACTGATTTTTGAGGGGATGAAAATTGGTTCATTTCTTGCTGTTAGGTTACGATTACGACCGCTAACCAGTAAAGTTTGCGACTCAATGAAGAATCACTGTTTCCCTTCGTTCGATATCATTCTTGGCAAAACTTATCCGACCGCTATTAATTTTGGATTCTCATTTAATGGTACATATATCCGTAGAAGCTTTGTTGATAAAGACGTTCGATAATGGTATGGCTCGACAACGTTTGCAAGTACTATTCAGGGCTTTGGTTGCCTACCAGTCGAACCTTAAATGGGTCATCACTTTAAAATGTATAGCAACAGATTGAAAATTCTAATCATGGCCATTAGCACCGACTCAGTTCAAACCATCTTGCACGCCCTATCAGTCCTCTGCCGAATTTCGTGTTCCTAGAAATAGCATTTGGTCCCCAAATTAGGACGGGTCGATTTGTACATCATTACAACCCTACCATACGAAGGAGGGAAGCCCAGCGTTAGCCGGTCGGCCCGATATAACTATAAGGATGCGGAGTCCAAGACGCGTTGCTCACTTTAGCCGGAATGCCCACGTTGCTTATCTTTTTCTCAGTAATTATTTCGCCGTGTTTCAAAACCTAGACTTCATCAACGGGGTAGAGGTAGAGAGTGGCAGCACGAATGAATGCAGAACAAAAACTAATCAAACCAGTGTAAAAGGTCTTTTTACCGTAAAACATCTCTTCAGAGTTTCTTACACTCAAAACGTTATGCTTCGAGCGGCTGTAAACTGCACCGTAGCTCTCCATTTCATTCTCGAGCAACGTTCTGTCTTTTCTGTAGGAGCAGCTCGTGTAATATTAACCGATGAATCGAAGAAAAAATCGTTCCCAGAAGTTAAGCGACTCCTCTGCGGATATTCGGTGCTTTCCACATTCTTTCTTTCATTTTTCTTTTCATTGCTAACACCTCTCCATATTGCTCTTCGTCTCACTGACTTGCATTCTAGCTAGTTGGTCACAAACCGGGTAATCGTACTTTTAGATCAAAAAGACACAACGTTATGACTGATATTAAATCGGATGCAACAAAATCACCGTATCACGTTCCACAAAAACCACCTTTTCAGCGTCATGACCATCAGCGAATGTAGCGAAAAACCATGCCATACGATCCGAATTAAATATTAGTGGAGGAGTGAAAAATGTGAAATAGAGCATGTACAAAAATGGAATCAGCAGAACGCAATATGTACGGTTGCCTTTGAACAGCTGAATAAAAATCATCACTTCATACGCTATAAGTGTACATATACATAATGGAGAAAACTTCTGTAGGAGAATTTCTGGGGGACTTGAAAGCAGTGGCGTTCTGAATTAGCTGCAAAAGATCGGCTGCTCAACGTGCTCCACTCCAGATGTCGAAGACGTTAACAGGATCGTTGAGAGAAGAAGGCGGGCTGCTTATCGAGGAAGAGCTTCGGGCATTGGTGGTTACGTATACCGCCGAAGCATCACTTCTCGTTGATCACTTTCGTCGTCATTCATCCTGCATCCTTCCTTTACATTCATAACCAGATAAACTTCGTGAGTTGTCCACTAAGTGTAAGTCGTTTTTACAGTGTCGTGAGTGAATGTACTTTATGTTTCACATCTATTGGAGCTATGATTATCGATAATGGTGCCTTGGTGTCTACATATTGTAGGAGGAATAGTTTATCTACGAAATCGCTCGAAAAAGCGTCAGCAGTAGACTTCAGGTGTGGGACGAAAGAGCCGCGCAGACAAAGGGGTACGAGGAATAGCAAAGCAAGAAAAACTCAGAAGGCTCACCTTTTCCATAGCAATTTGACTCCAAAGATCGAGTAATCTATTGATAACTAATACCAGACAATTCATACAGGCACAGCACCACAAGCCTGAAATGTTGCTTTGCAAATTCATATTCTGCTGAAAATTTTTTCCACTAGGAAGTGCTCCAATGTAAAATCTCTTATGGCCTATACATAGAGTTGTATCGTGTGAAACCCGATGCAGTGTATCTACTCACCAAGTGCTATAGATCCTGTCACAAAAATGAGGTTCGGATTTGTGCAATAATTAGCTCCGATCAACCATAAATATCCACTCAAAATCGAATTCAATGATATTGCACACATGTCGTTAATACCTCAAAGTCATACATGCTCGACTATTGACAATTCCTAGCTTCGAAAAATCGCCCGTTAAAAATTAGTTAAACCAGTGAACGTTTCACAAAAAAGTTCATTCCACATAGAAAAGGCCAAGACTAGAGCTGAAATTTCGGGATGGTGATTTCATGTTTGCAATCACAAATTGAATGGAAATCAATGTCGTCAGTGACTAATTTTACTGCCGTAATCTAGTAAAATCCCGTCTCGCTAAAGGCGAAGAAGAAGCCAGTACTTGCTGAGGTGATGATATATGTTGAACATCGTTCGAAAGAATTTTAGTCTACATTTCATTTGTTTTTTCTAGCCAACGAGGTGGGTTTTCCACGTGGAAAAGATAGACAGCTAGCCTCAGCATCAATTTGCTTTTCATCTTTCTTGAAGGTATATAAAAGACACCTTTCTTGAAGGCGTATGAAAGAGGAGGGTATCTGCGTTTGTGTTGTCATCAATTTTTACTGGGCTCAGCTTTTCACAGAACATATTATGTACAGTAACGCTCAAAAGTCCTCGGCCAAATGTTTCTTAAGCCGCACTCTTTAGTCATAACCACTCTTCTACTGAATCTAATCATGCGAAATCCCAAAATGTGTAGCATGGGTGTATTGTGAATATATACCACTATTGACCTGCAACCTGGTCACGTTCCAGATGTCCCAAAGAGCTTAAGCTCAAAATCAAACGAAAATACAGTCAGTGGATCCTCTAAGATTCCTTTCCTTTTGGCCATGTCTAAAGTATACGAGCACTAATGCCGAACATAGTAGAGGAGAAAAAAGCACATAAGGTGCCAATAACTCAGACATTACTAGCTTTGCTTTTAGTGAAGTCTGCTGCCGCAAAAAAACACCCTCACATGAATATTGCTGCTTTGCAGCCAAATAGTGTTATACAGTGCGTTTCACAAGTATGTGCACACCCGACATTTTGTTTTTTAGGAATACCATTGCTTCCTGTAACC